ATTCTGGGCCCCTTTTCAGACACACCCAGCCCACCTATTAAAGAAAAAAAAAAATCTGGGAAAATTGTAATGGTGAAAACACTTGAGCAATACACATCAAATCATCTGAATTCACACTATACGGTCTTTAATAGATGGCATACTTTAGTTTAGAAAAAAAAAAGCAAGAAAAGTAGCTTTGTATCCATTCCTCAGTGAACAAACTTTCCAGTGTTGATTACAACTCAACTGTGGTTTATTACAAAGACTGATTTGAGCAAAATAATTTTTGCCACATTTGTATGTGCGCACTGACAAATCGTATTTGCAAATAACTGTCCCACATCTGTGGGAGTATCTTGCTGTACAGCATGCCAATGAAAATATCGATTGTGAAAAGAATTGAATTATTCCATTTGGCGTATACTCAGTCATTTACGTTGTCAGTGTGTCAAGTGCCTAACAAATTGCTCCTTAGTTGGTCCATCTTCAGTAAGATGCCTCAGATGTTACCTCATCAAGTGACGCAAAAATATTGAGTGGTTTTCCATTGGACCAAGATTTCATCTGTGAGTGTAATAAAGGGATACAGCGTAACAACCAATCACCTTGTGGATTTTTTTTTTATATTTGAATTACCACAGTTTGCACTTTTTTTTCCTGCTCTTGTACATTAGAATTGTAAAGACTCAGAATATATTAGAAAACCTACAAGACTTCAAAAGTAGGGATGATTGACATACCAAAACCCCCATTAACAAAACACTCATTTAAAGGAATAATGAGTAAATTCAAATGACTAATAAGATGACGACTAGACTTCTCAGCCTCAAGTTGATGGAAAACCGATTCCTTACTGAAAACGACAACAGCAAAAAGAAAAAAATGACAAACCTTGAGTTCCTTCACCTGCAAAGAACGCCAACCCGTCCAGTCATCAAAAAGTAGATTTGTTTTTCTTGTTAGGTTGGCCTGGCGTCTGCCTGGGATTAAAAGTAAATGTCGTGTTCCGCTTTCAGTGCGGGAATCTCCAACAAAAGAGGGAAGGGGAGGAAAGCAGAAACCTGTGAATACCTGTCGCTTTTACTTCTCCAACACAGACGCATAACGCCACGCCTTCCGGCTCATCTTAGTCACACACACACAGTCATACCTGGTGTCCATGCAACAACTTTACAAGAAATTAGAGTAATCATTCACCTAATTGCTGACTAAATTAATAAAAACAATGTCAGATTTTTCGTGTGCATTTCCAAACGCACAAAGGAAAGAAATAATTAAAAAAAAAAAAAAACAAAGAAAATTTGGCTGAAAAACCAAGTTAAATATTTGGCGCGCACACATACACACAGACAAGCACAGACACACACACGCCTTTGGGCTATAATGGAAGATGAGAGGGAGGGCGGCGATAGTGAGAGAGAAGCTGCAAGTTGGAACAAGACTTGAGTTGGATGACATGACGTTTGTGGATGGTGGAGTCCTTACATGCCAGTTGAAACCCATAAAAGGAAAAACGTCATACATGACTTCAGCAAGTCACTCTGTTGGCACAATCCAAATGGGCTGCATACATTCGACAATAAAATCATCAGGCACTTATTGAATTTCCTACCTCAAAGCAAAGTAAAAAACAAGGGTACAAAATAGCGTACTGTTACGGAGGGGGGAAAAAAACGGACAAAAAAAACCTCATGAAACTCATGTAAAAATGTTAAACTTATGAAAAAAAAAAGTAAAATTCAAGTAAAAACAAAAATCGTTTGAAAATGTGAACATGGTGTAAAAATGTTTCGCGTAAAAAGGTGAAACGTTCAAAATGTGAACAAGTTGGCCTCGCAGAGGACTCAACTTTTGTTGCAACCTGGGCCCCGAAGTGCAGCAGGACAGAGAGGCACATGTTTCCGTACTTTGTCCGAATGCAATGGCACTATATCTAAAATGTTGCCATGTCTCAACCCAAGCTTGAAGAACAACTTAATCAAATCGTTTAAGTGAGCCACATTATCCATTCTGTTCCAACGTGACAGTTTTTTTTACGTGATCACGTTTTTACATTTGGTTTCTCCATGATAGGTTTAATTTTTTTTCATAGTGTGGCAGCAATATACCCTTCCGCACTTCAGTGTACTGTAGAAGTTCACAAAGGCAAGCATTTCCCACAGTGCAAGCACACATTTTCTTCAGGGCACATTCGGATCTGGTGACTTGGACAGAGAGGTGGGGCACAACAACAGATTTTTGTTTAAAACGACTGCTAAAAGTACCGATTGCACTACATTTAATTTTGCAGGGAAAAAAGAGGTACACTTTTTAGCGTCAATTACATACAACGCACACTCTGATCCCTCCTTTTAAAGTCCATATAGTGTTTGCACTGAGAGGGAGGGGGAGGGAACAAAAAAAAAAAAAAAATCACTGCACATGCTATCAAAACATGTTCCCATAGCTTTGCTCATGTGACTGGCTAACAAAAAAAAATGAGTTGGCTAATAATAACCATGCAGCTGACAATGAATACAAAAATGGATTAAAATTACATTCCAAAATGCTGCTGTGTGCAAATACAAAGTATCACCATCCAGTGTGGATTCTCACCCAAAAGTCAACATCTTTTGAAGCGTAAAATATACATCCAAAGAGAAATGACCACCTTGACAAAGGTCGAACTTACCCAAGTTCCTTGGCGGAGGTAAACCGTTCCCCAGCTTCAGCATTTTTCCCGTCTTTCCCATTCAGCGAGGGCGCAGCCCAGCTACAAGAGAGCCTTTGAGAGCAAGTCAACCAGATGATGTTTGAAAGACTGATTAGTTTTGATTCCAGCCCACAAAAGTTCAGAAAGTCAACTCCAAGAACTTTAGAACAGAGGATCCCTGCAAATGCGAGGGTGTGAAAATTGAACCGTGGCTGCAGAATGTGACACGGGGCAAACACTTATGTGCAATGCCGCTGCCGCACTGTCAACCTTATGGTCTCAATCTGGATTTACCGTTCTGACCCAAATCAGGACGGACGGGGAGGATGTTGACAATAAATGATTAAAATCGAAATATCACCTCATTCATAGAAAGCAACAATGAGAAATTACATCAGATCATTTTGCAAGCTAGCTGCTATTTGTCAATAACTGGCTTGAAGCAGACAGTGATGAAACCGCATGAATCATTACTGTATTTTACGAGATTGACGTCGCAACAGGTCTGGGCAGCTGCACTGTGTGGGTTTTATTTTTAAGCTTGCATTGCACAAGTCTTGCATCAACTCTTTGTCTTCAACTCTCATCAACTTTGGGTCAGTGGTGTCGAAAGCGAACCAGTCTTGTCATCCTTGCTGTAATCATGGCACCGTTACTGTTGTTGTGCCCATTTTTCCTTTCGTCCCGCAACCCCTCGATGCAGGTTTCTCAGGGAGGGGGAGGGGGGTCCCGAACTTCCATCTTCAAATGCTTGTTCAATGTCGGCAAAGTCTAACTTTTTTGGACCTGCTCAATGTGTGCCTGAAAATAATTTCCGTTGGAAATTAGCACGATTTAGTTATTTGACTTGAGGTGAGATGCATCCAGAAAAGCAGGTATTAAGTATAACAGGTAACCACAACTTTGACAGCCAGGTCCCGGCGAGGAAAAACCATACAAAGGTATTATGCCCACTTAGATTTATTTATTTATTTTTTTACGTATTTCATACGAGAGTGCACATTCTCTCACCAAACTGTTTATTAGCCAACTAGTACATTGCAGAAAATTCCGCTTCTTATTCTTCATGCCAATGGGCCATTTGCCTTTTCGGTAATAACCGCAGTACTTCTGTTTCGTTAATTAAGTCTTCTTCAAACAGTTCCTTTGTTTGTCAGGATGGTTCTACCCACAAATCGCTCTGTGGCTTTCATTATCTATCAAGTAAAAATCTGAAACTACGCGTGCGACATACCTGGGCGACAGAACACAGTCACACACTAATTTGGCTCATGAAACGGATGGATTCAACCTCGAGGCACCATCTGAGTTGAGTGTCGCATCTGGTAGAGCTAATGGAAATAAAAGTTCTTATTCTTCATGCCAATGGGCCATTTGCCTTTTCGGTAATAACCGCAGTACTTCTGTTTCGTTAATTAAGTCTTCTTCAAACAGTTCCTTTGTTTGTCAGGATGGTTCTACCCACAAATCGCTCTGTGGCTTTCATTATCTATCAAGTAAAAATCTGAAACTACGCGTGCGACATACCTGGGCGACAGAACACAGTCACACACTAATTTGACTCTCATGAAACGGATGGATTCAACCTTGAGGCACCATCTGAGTTGAGTGTCGCATCAGGTAGAGCTAATGGAAATAAAAGTTCCGCTTCTTATTCTTCATGCCAATGGGCCATTTGCCTTTTCGGTAATAACCGCAGTACTTCTGTTTCGTTAATTAAGTCTTCTTCAAACAGTTCCTTTGTTTGTCAGGATGGTTCTACCCACAAATCGCTCTGTGGCTTTCATTATCTATCAAGTAAAAATCTGAAACTACGCGTGAGACATACCTGGGCGACAGAACACAGTCACACACTAATTTGACTCTCATGAAACGGATGGATTCAACCTTGAGGCACCATCTGAGTTGAGTGTCGCATCAGGTAGAGCTAATGGAAATAAAAGCTGATGTGTTGAGGTCTCGCTCATCTTTTTTTTTTCCCCCAGCTGTCTTTGGGCAGTAGGCGGTGAACACCCTGAACTGGTTGCCAGCCAATCACAGGGCACACAGACGAATCGCCAATCGCATTCACACCTGGGGGCAATTTCGAGTGTTCAAACAGCCTGCCATGCATGTTTTTGGAATGTGGGAGGAAAACAGAGTACCCGGAGAAACACTACACAGGCACGGTGAGAACATGCAAACTCCACACAGGAAGGCCGGAATCGAACCCTGCACTGTGAGGCCAACGTGCTAACCAGTCAACCACCTCATGAGCGACTAAGGATATCAAATATTGTTTCAATCTGGAGATGTGTATTGTACAAAATAGTTATCAAACCAAAATAGTAAACAGTAATGCCTTTATTTAGTCAAGTCTTGCAATATAAAACTAAAAAGTTGCATAGCTGCAATAACAGTCTATGAATCTGTCCGCAGATGACTGCTACGACGCTACTGGGGGGTTCTTCAAGTCTATTGAGGACTCAAGCTCCTGGGAGGGGGGAAAAAAAAAAGCATTTTAATCAAGTGGAACCGATTAACGAAATTTCAAAAAGGTGTCGAAGTTTATGCAATGAACGTAGAATTGCCTATTTGGGGGACAACAGCAAATTTGACTTTGAAATGAACTTTAACTACTTTGGCCAGGAACTTCATGGCCCACTGAATAAACCTTGAGCATAGTTGAATTGTCTAATTTCTCAAGGTTTTACCTCACTGTCAGCCTCCAGATGTTCAGATTGCAGTGCCATGTTTGACATCAATGTTTCTTTGTCAGGTGCTTTTCCTCTGATTGATACCCAAGCCCTGTATCAAGATGCAAATACAACAACGAGCTACATCAGTCAGCCTGCAGAATATACATGAAAGCAAACAATTCACTTCTGTCCAACGCGGGTAACAGTTAGCTGTAATTGACATGCGAACAAAGAACATCCTTGCCTTTTTCCAAAAACGAAAGCGACCCCCATGAATGCAGCAAATAGGCAGAAGACCCCCAGGACCACACCGACATGGCTTCGTCTATTTTCCTTCTCTTGACAGAACTCTCCTCGGTAGCCAGCCACGCAATGACAGTGAATGACGTTGCCTTGGGTGGCGCAATGGCCATGGCCGTTGCAATGTTGTTGACTACATGAGGAAGTGTCCTTGGAGTTTTGAGGAGGTGCGAGTGGAGACTCGGCAAGATGACCGCCACTGACTTTGGTGCCAGAGGGGGCGTTCATTTGTGGACCTAGAGGAGTTCATACTGCTTACATATTCACAGTCAATTATTGCACAGCATTGTGAGAATGGAACATTTGCACAATATGAAACTGCGTAGCCCAATAACTCACAGTCTTGTTCATCTGACTGGTCCGGACAGTCCGCAAGGCCATCGCAAAACTTGCTGCTCGGGATACACTTGCTAGCATCAAGACAAGCTTGCTCTCCTTTGGGACACGGGTGCTCTGGTGCACAGGATGTGGGACTGGCGCTGTAGAATCCGCGAGCACATTTGCACGTGCGGCCTCCGGGATAAGGCAGGCACAGATGTTCACAGTCCCCGTTGTTGTTGGCGCACATATTGGATCCTGTATGGGTTGGAGGCAAACAACTACAAACTCCTTGAAAAAGAAACATGACTAAAATGTCATTGAGAGGACCTGGTTTCGGTCAACTAGTCATTCCAGTCTCAAATGAATTCTGTATTTTACCTCTGCCATTTTCAGGCCATATTAGACTTTTGTGACTCTCCAGTTAACAGCTATTACCTGTAGTAGACCATATCCCACCTGTCTGGCTGTCATTACTGTAAACTTTAATTTCCACAAGGTTGGTTTTTGTCTCAAACCACAGCTGTTTCGGATGATGGCCATCGCTGAACCACATTTTGGTGACGTCTACACAGGTTGGAGACAAGCACAGTACATATATCAGGAATGAAGATTCCGCGCCCGCGCTCCCCCCAAAAATTGGGGGCCGGTATGACCGTGAAACCATATGTGTTTTGGAAAAAAAAAAAAAAAAACGTGTTTTCAAAATGATAGAATTGACTACAGTTAAGCATATTTTCGCTTGATGAACAAGGTGACGCAAGCCCACTGCCAGCTGACAAGCATTGCATTAATCTGCCGCTGGTTGCCAGTTAATAGATCATGCAAATGTGGTCACTCTTACCCTTCTCCAGTGTTATCCAGAGGAGCATATTCTCAGTGTACGTGACGGATGTAATCAAACCAGGCCCCATTTTGTATTGTTTGTAGCCTGAGCCATCTAGTCCAATAGAGCAGATTAGGCCTTCAACTAAACGGCAGGGGGTGGAAAAAGTCAAAAATCAATCAAGGAAGCAAAGCCAGCCAAAAGAAGCTCCGGGATAAACTCAAAACCTGTGTCAGCCCAGTAGAGTGTCGTCCCATTATCGGAAAAAACCACTGACATAGGGAGGGCGGATTTTGCCCAAAGCACTGCTTTGTTTCGGCCGTCCATCCAGACACAGCTCACCTCAGCCTGGTTCTTACTGCCAACAAGGGCTGTGTAGCAAAGTTGACTTGAGGGAGGATGGACTGCAATGGATGTTGTGCGCTGGAGGATCAGACAGTCAATCTGTGAGTCCATTGCAACCTCGGATGATTAGTGGTAGAAATAGCTTCAAGGAGAAGGCGTAGACCGTGTCAAACCTTAACCGTTTCCTGCAATAGAGAGGCGGTGAAGCCATCAGGACTGCTGGTCACATGCAGATTAGGTCGTCTGGTGCTGCTCCAGTAGATGTTCGAAGTAACCCAGTCAACAGCCAGAGCCATGACGGAATCATCCTTGAGGATCAGGGAATAAACATTGATGAATCCCAGTGTGTGAGCATGACACTTCAGCCCTTAACTCTCAATTCCGACATTCAAGGTTCCAGAGTGCACATCATTTAAAATGCACTGCGTAACAGTTATAAAAATGGGGAAATTCATTCCAAATGTTGAAGTTCCTTTTACCTACCTTTAGTTGCATAACTTGCCCAGTTACTGTAAGTGCCTGTCTGGACCTCGGCCCGCTTAAGTTCAGCACATCTACAGTACCTTGTTTGGCATCAGCCACGAACAAGGACATGGGCTGTAGGGCTAGGTCGAGTCCAGAGGCCTCAACAACCCCAGGAACGACCAACACTCGACTGTTTGGCATGTTTTTCAGACCGACCCCATCATGACGCAAGGACTGAAAGTAAACCTGAAAGGTGGGAGAGGAAAAAAAAATTAATAAAAGCATTTAAGAAAGAGATCCAAGGACAGCTGACCATCACCTGATAGACTGTTGTCGACGACAGAAGCAAGATGAAAGTAGAGTCCAAAGGCAGAGAGCAGGTGATCTTGTCCTTAGAAAGGAGCAGCCCCTTTGGACAGCGGCAGACTGCAGCAGGCTGCGTCACAGGAGCGCCAGCTGTCAGAAGGCACAGGTGGGAGCACCGCAGCTGGTCGCAGGGGTTGGATAAGGCGGGCTGGCAGAGGGCATGCATCAGCTGGAGAGAGGAAACGGTATGAGAAAGCGTCATGTCATTATTTGTCTCCAAAGGCCATTTAAAGGACAGTCAAGACTCCTGGAACACAAAGCTCATCTTATTTTACTCTCGTAGTCTGAAGAGGTAACAAATCTCTGTGGACCAAGAAATGAATGGAATTGTGATTACTGTACCAAAGTGGTTTGTACTACAAAAGGCATGTGCCAGAAAGTGGTACGGATCAGTTACTTTGAAAAGCGTGCTTAAATGGAAAACTGCAAACCTTCAGTCCAAAAGGCTGTCCTGGTCTTTTGAGAAGAACCTTCTGGTCTTTGCCAGTGTTCTTGTCGGCTGAACGGATGGTTCTTCGCTTCGTGTCGGACCAGAAAACCCGATCATTGAACACTGCCACTGAGAAGGGGCTCGGAGTTTCAGCTAACTGGAGAACCTGGTAAGAGCGGCATTTCCATTTCCACCCGCACATTAAAATCAATTCGACAGTTTTACAATTTGCACATGGACACCGATGCATGTGCATCGGTGTCCAAAGCCAACCGCCTGCATTAGATGACATTCACCTTGACATCATCTCCATCCAGGGAGGCCGAGCCAATGCAGCGCAGCTTCTCATCAGCCCAGTAAACGCGCTCGTCCAGGAAATCGTAGGCCAAACTTACGGGCCAGCTCAAACCGCTGGTCACCACCGCCTTCCTCTCTGAGCCGTCCATCCCTGAACGCTGGATCTGAGGGGTGCTGCCAATCTCGGACCACAACATAAATCTGAGCGAGGGTAATAAAATAGACGATAGCAATTGACAGTGACAAGTAAATCTCCTGACTGGGTGGGTGCCTCACCCTTTGTGTGGTAACAGCACCAGTGAGCGTGGCTGCTCAAGATCTTCAGCCAGCACCACTGTGTAATCCTGAGACTTCAGTGTGGTGTCACTGAGCCGCACCGCTCGAATTTGGCCCACAAGTCCATCCACCCAGTAGAGGTTCTTACCTACCCAGTCCACCGCAATGAAATCTGACTTCACACCTGTAATTAGATTTGATGTGAACACCGGTCTACAGATTCATTTTGGTGTCTCCAAATTTGAAGTGGACCTTTGACAAGTGTCCCTTTATTGGTGGAGTCCTTTGTCATGTCTGCCCAGCGGATGCTCTGGTAGTCTGGACTGAGCCAGTAAACCCTCTGCTGAGCCCAGTGGTAATCCAACGAAAAGACCGGCCGGTTGGCGGAGGACAGGAGGCGCAAGGAGCCACTTTGAACTCCAAGAAGTAAAAGCTCGGACTGAACAGATGCCACGAGCAGTGGCTCATCTAAAAAGGCATAGGAGACTTATTTTATCTTTTATTTATATTCAAAGACGAGATGATGGATAAAACTTGATTAACAAAAAAAAAAAAAAATCACATCTATTCTAATGCTCATAGCATTTTTTTAATGCATAATATATATATATATATATATATACACACACACACACACACACATATCTACTGTATGTTAGAGACTTTCTGTAAAATATACCCAAGTCCATCTCTTTCCAATGGAACGCAATCACTTCAAATCATGGCATTGTAATAATGCGTTTGTGTATGAATGTTTTGTATCACTTACCTTTGGTCTTACAGCTTTTGTTGTCAGGCTCCAGGTAGAAGCCAGGGTGGCATTGGCACACGTAGGACCCACGGGTGTTGAGGCAGCCGTGTTTACATGCATTATGCTGCATTAAATTGCATTCGTTGGTGTCCACACAGGACACCGCACCGGAACGTAGCGTGAAACCCGCTTCGCAGTAACACCTCTGCAAAAATAAACAACATTCAACATCTAGCGGGATTATTTGTCTCAGAATCACATGACTTGCCTCATGTTGTGAACGGGGGGTATTTATGTGCATGAGCGTGTTAAAAACTACATCTGAAAAGGCTCCCTTCTCTATTTCCGCTTTACTGACCGGTCCCTTTGGAGTGCTGACACAACTGTGATCACAGTGAGGTGCTGATGGACTCGAGCAGTTGCGCAGTGTGCATCCCACGCCCTCATCCGAACTGTCAGCACAGTTGATAAAGCCGTTGCACACCAGTCGCGGGTCCACACACTCACCGCTGCCACACTGGTAAAGGTGAGAGGGGCAACTTCTCTGTTTGCCTGTGGAAACAGGAGGCCGACATTCAAGAGGCTCTTTGGATTGTGGAACAAAATGAGACATTTTAAAGACGGCTTGTGTTGGGTCCTATGGCCGAACTGTAGCGGTCTCAAATGTTGAGCATGAAGATACTTACATTTGTCTTCATCCACCCCATTGTGACAGTCAGCCTTCCCGTCACATCTCCAGGAGAGGGGGATGCATTGAGTGCTGCTTCCACATTGCCACTGGTATTGCCTACACGGTGGCGCCTTAGTCAAACAGTTCTAGGTGCGAGGGACATTCGTTTTGTTTAAAGTGATGCTGTATCATTTGAATAACCTTCACTGAACTGCAGGCTTACTTTTTCATCTGAGCCGTCCTTGCAATCGTTCTCACCATCGCACAGCCACTCACTCTGCAGGCACTCGTGACTGTGAGGGCATCGCAAGTGCGCGGGGCAGCGTGGTGGTCTTGAGCAGTCGACCTCATCAGACCGGTCACTACAATCTGCATAGCCGTCACATCGAAGAGCCACAGACACACACTGACCGCTAGTGCAGCGGAACTGCTCAACCTCACAGAGCGTCAACCCTGCGAGGAAGAAATTATATTGGCGTCTGCTAACGAGGATTTTTTTCTTTTTAATTAAAACATGTCACATACCACACTTTTCTTCATCTGAGCCATCAGCACAATCTCTCTCGCCATCACACAGGAAGGTCTCTGGTATGCAACGCGATGCGTTATCGCAACGGTGATGGCAGCCCAAGAGTTTATTTTCACAGTTCATTTCATCTGAGCGGTCTTGACAGTCATATTGTCCGTCACACACCTGCTCAGTTTGGATGCATCTATTACCGTGATGACATTCAAACTCATCTGGGAAATGAAAAATAAACAGTTAAAGCGATCTCATGAAAGATGGCACTCCAACTCTTTCAGCATGACCAAACTCGATGTACAAAGTACAAACCTGCTTTGCATTCAGTCGCACATTCCTCCTCATCCGATCCATCCTGGCAGTCCTCCTCACCGTCACACACGTGGCTGTACATCACACACTCCAGACCGTCTTTACAAGCCTTGAAACCATTACGGCATTTTAGAGGAACTGGCTTGTCCCTGGAGGCTTAGCGAAGAGAAAAAACATTTTAAAGGCTGGATTTGGACTGGTCGAACCGCACAATCAATTATAGAAACACCAACTTCATTGCTTGTACACAGTTTGCTTGCTGGAATGGCTGCCTGCCCATCGAAGCGTGTGTGTGTGTGTGAGACAAAAATATGGTTTCTCTGCACATGAATCGTCAGTTTAACTGGGTGCTGTAATTCTTTATCCTTCATGCATTATTTAGACCAAATCATTCCAAAGAGCTCTTAAGTGCATACATGGCAATGGCGAGTGATGAAAAAAGCGGAAGGGGCGTGGCCTGGAAGGGGCGTGGCCTGGACGGGGCGTGGTTACTTACAAAAGTGGCACTAAACATGCTGAAGATGAAGCGTATTAAATTTACACAGTTTGAAAATTGAACAGAAAAAAATCCCAAGATCGCCACTATTCTTTCAAGTGAAAATTTGTGCAATTTTGCCTATGCATTCCTGGTGAGCACCAATATGTAACTCCAAATTTGCTGCTCAAAATCAAAACTAAAAAAGTAAACACATTCCCTGCCATATTTAAGATTTGTTCA